GTCAGATGACGGAATAAGTTTAAGGAAGGAGCGATTCACGCGAAACGTTTCTGTGACGGTAAACACCATCAGAGTTCGCAACAGCATTTACAGCCACAAGCACCTGATCAGATGAACACCTCTGCACAACAACACGCCATCAGTGAAGCAGTAACAATTGTCAGTAATCCCACTCAACAAGTAATATCTCTTTGGGTTTCTTATAGGGCACACGTCGAGGGATTGTTGCCACGAACAACTCTGTTGATTCTCAATTCATGAAGCGCTACTCTTTCAGAAACCGTCCATTGAAGCGACCGTCAATGAACAGATGGTGACTTCAAGCAATGTTCCATCTTCGAAGTCGCTTACTGCTGACGAAATGACTGCGTGGATAGTGTAAGTGAATGTTGAAATAGTTTTTCGATCAAAAATCGTTGTGTTCTCACGGCCAGATTCCATTCGTTACCACGCCACATGAACAACTAACTAACTGATCATGAAACAATTTTTCCAAACCTTTAATGAAGCCATCAAAGTTTTGCAGTGTGCTTCTGGAAATATTCATCCTTTTCATGATGCACGTCTCCAGATCGTTATTGCATTATTGTGTATATCAAATTCAGAAGTTTCACTTGAGTTCACTGCTAAAGGATTTAGCAATTTACCGTTATAAGAGCAATTTTAGACATGGTGGCTATAGTCCAACTGTTGTGCAATCCTATTGTCGACCAGACGCATGCGTAATGTACCGTGGCGATTGCTATTGAAAAATTTGGGTATAATATTGAGGCCGTATGGGCGATATGTCTTCCATCGCACACATCCTGGAGGACTATATCGTTGCTAAACAAGCATTAAAAAAAGTTGCATCCAAAACAATGATATTCATTGGTTATTTATTCTGTTAAACTTGTGTATGCTGTATATTCTGATTGATTTCGATGTATTCCTCCCGCAAAAATATTATAGAAATTCTGAGTGAAAAAAAAACAGGATCGCCTCCTTCATTCGTCCAACTTAGTGCATCGGTTCGTTCATTTTATCACATCCAAATTATCATCATGTTTTAAAATCAACTGAGCCAGGCGGCATGAATTTGGTTTGTTAACGGCGAGAATTACAAACGGTTTAGTAATAAAGAAGGGATACGTGGGGATGCTTTGAAAGGTTCCAGAATCACTGTTAATCAGTCATTTAATTGAGTGGATTCAGCTTTTTTTTTTCAAATTTCTGGTTTATCTATATACTTGGTGTATTGTTGTGCCTTCCGTTCATTTTATTTACCTTCA